CAGTCTATGAGTGAGAAAGGTGGCATTCCTTTCATTACGATGTCCTTAGATCTAACATTTTCCCATATCCAGAAAGTTACTTTGGCAAAGGGAGGATTCTTCACATGGACTACTCTTTTTAAATTATCCTAACTAAATTATGGAAAAAAGGTGCAAAGTATGATAGAATATCTAAAGAATGGTGAATGGTGGAGGTGGGATGTCTTCATATATTTATTTTAAAACATTACTATTCTCTGTCTACATCCACATTATTCTACGTGGTACTCTACTGTTTGAATATTTTGAAGAATGTGATTAAATTCAAATGCTTTGATGAGTAATAGCTCCTCATATTTGTCTAGAACTTTATTTTTATTGAATAGCAAGAGTGATGAAAGTGTTTTCCATAATAATAACAATGACAAGGGCCTTATGATGAACTACAATTAACTCAGTGATTCATCAGTTAGCAGTGAAAATTTCAATGCATCCTGACATTTAGAGCATTTGGTTGTGATTAAGTCTTTGAAATGTCACAGAATTTTATTTAATTGGCTATGATTTTTTTTAAAGGTAATCACTGCAAAGATTGCATTCATCACCAAAAGAGATAATTGCAGTTGTCACATGATATAGTAGGTGCTAACTACTGTACCAAGCACATTGGTATTCTTGCAGCAACTAATGAATACTGCATAAATCAATGGTTGGAAAGAACTTGGGAGTGGATTTAAATGTGCTTTTCAAATACATTAGTATCAACAACTTCAACTTCAAAGACATTAGTATTAACAATCTAAGCAAATACTGAAACTGAAATGCAGGTAATTGCGAGACAAAATTAACTGAGTATAATTACTGTAACCTCTGAACCATCCTAAAAACCCAGCCAGAATCTCAATAGCCTATTTGTGTGATAAATAGCTTTTTTGTGAGTGACACACCCCTAACTAACCTGTAATGTACAAGAACAGATTTCTACTGCTTAAAGGTCACATACTGCAGATGAAGTGGAAAATAGTTTAAAGTCCCCTTCTAAGGGAGATTAAGTAGCATCCTTCTGGACAAAGCTGTTTAAAAGCACACTTGTAAGAGAGTATATGCATGTATATGTATATAGCAGACATATTTCCATGTTCATAGAATCATAAAAGATTAGGGCTGGAAGAGACGTCAGGAAGTCATCTAGTCCAACCCCCTGCTCAAAGCATGACCAACCTCAACTAAAGCAAGTTATACATATGTAAAGTAAAAATATATGAAGCTATTACCTGCATTTTTATATTATAAATGGAGGAAGACATTACTCTATGCCGGTCAGGTCTGAAAGTACATGTAGTATGTTCCATCACTGCCTTCCCAATGATTCTCACTCACCATGGTTACAGCTCAGTGGGACATGATTTCACTTAATTCTCTCTGCTATCTATTTATGTAACTAGGTTTTAAAGTAGGCTTTATACTGCACTCAGTGCCGTATTATCTAAGTGCCTTACACATTTTAATACAAACACCTAGGAGCTCAGGTTTTCTTGATCACTGGCATCAATGTTTTTTCCAATGTATGTGGATTTGGAGGGCTAATCTAGGATGTGTTTTGTGCATAGGATAGCTGATATTTACTGTGGCACATCAGGTTTCTGATATTATATTCTGTGTCCACATTGGGGCTTTTAATAAACTCTACAAACAGGCTAGGGTTGCTCATTACTTCATGTAGCTTCTCCTATAGCCATGTTTGGCATGTTCTGTATCAGAGAATTAATCCCATACTGTTTAGATGGACATGCAGGCAGTGGAATATATTTGCTTCAGCTTCCCACCATTGGATATACCTTTGTCTGCTAGATTAAAGGGCCCTCTACTGCTCCCTATGAAGTATTTATAAACCATGATCAACTCATGATCAACTCA